AGATATGATGAGATCCACCACCACTGGGGAGGCAATGTCCTGTGTGGTGGTATTGTGTTCCCCAAAATATTGTGCACCCTAATAAACTTATCTGGGGTCAGAGAACAGAACAGCCACTAGATACAGAGGCTAGAAAATGGTGGCACTCATGCCTTTAATCCTAGCATTCCAGAGGCAGAAATCCATCCGGATCTCTGTGAGTTCAAGGCCACATTGGAAACAGTCAGGCATGGTGACACACGCCTTTAATCCCAGGAAGTGATGGCAGAAAGCAGAAAGGTATTTAAGGCGTAAAGACCAGGAACTAGCCTGGTTAAGCTTTTAGGCTTTGAGCAGCATAGTTCAGCTGAGATCCATCTGGATGAAGACTCAGAAGTTTCCAGTCTGAGGAAACAGGATCAGCTGAGGAATTGGCAAGGTGAGGTAGCTGTGGCTTATTCTGTTTCTCTGATCTTCCAGCGTTCACCCCAATACCTGGCTCCAGGTTTGTTTTTATTATTAAGACCCTTTAAGATTCATGCTACAGTCCTGGGTCCTAAATCTGTGGCTCGGATTGCCAAGCTGGAAAAGGCAAAGGCCAAAGAACTCACCACTAAATTGGGTTAAATGTACACTGCTAAGTTTTCTGTACATAAATATAATTACAAACTTACCTTCCAAAAAAAAAAAAAAGATGAGTCTGGACAACATAACAAAATCCTATTTGAAGCAAATAGGCTGAATATGGTTACACATGGCTATTAATATCAGTACTCAGCTGTGGCTAAAAGATCTCAATTCAATGGCAGCATAAAATGTATAGTGAAAGCATTTTTTTTTTTTTTTTTTTTTTTTTTTGGTTTTTCGAGACAGGGTTTCTCTGTGTAGTTTTGGTGTTTTGGTGCCTGTCCTGGATCTTATTCTATAGACCAGGCTGGCCTCGAACTCACAGAGATCCGCTTGGCTCTGCCTCCCGAGTGCTGGGATTACAGGGATATGCCACTGCCACCTGGTGCATTTTTTTTTTTAAATCTTCACTTGTATGTTACATAATGATATATGTTTTTAAATCTTGAAATGTTATTAAGGAATAAAAAAGGAAAAACAATGTTGTCTTAGTGTGGAGTCAATGAAAAATTTCAGTGAAATTAACATTATTCATTGGCCTTTTCTAAGAGAAACACAATAAATGTCCACAATGACCACAGAAGAAATCACATATGCAAATCAAAATGGTAATGAGGGATCAGTAAAGAAAAGGAAAAGGGCCGGGCGGTGGTGGCACGCCTTTAATCCCAGCACTCGGGAGGCAGAGCCAGGCAGATCTCTGTGAGTTCGAGGCCAGCCTGGTCTACAGAGAGAGTTCCAGGAAAGGCGCAAAGCTTTACAGAGAAACCCTGTCTTGAAAAACAAAAAACAAAACAAAACAAAAAAGAAAAGGAAAAGGAATGGGAGTCAGAACACTACTATATGTGTCCTGATTTTCCCAAGACACATGAAGGGTACCTTCTAAATCTATGTCTCAGGAGACATAAGCAAACAGATGCACGAGGGCTTTCTGAGAAGGAGGGTTGTACACATGCAGGTTCCATTATTACAACATGTTTACTCAAGCACAAAACACTGAGAAAAAGGTGAGGCCTCAGCTCTCAAAGTTGTATGTGTACGTGTGTGGTATTGTTGTTATGGATGATGATGCTGGAACCCAGGGCCTCAGGCAAGCTTGGCAAACACTATGACACTGAGTTACACTTATTCTACCCAAGCCCTCACTCAGTTTTGCTCTCCTGAAGTGTCAATATGTACAAAGAATGACTAATGTTAAAAGGAAAAAGGATAAGGACATCTTGGGTCTTGATCAAGCCTGCCATGATTACCCTTTTGTTTCATATTGTGCAGTGCTTACCAGGGACCTAACAAGCTGCTAAGCTGATTCAAATGTGTAGTAGGTGTGGACACTAGCAGGTCAACTGTTCTACACACTACATCTCATAACTAACTACTCTAACAATTATGATGCAGTTTTGATACATCTCGAGGTGCCTCCTTTAAAACCAGCATTGGGATGTTTGTCAACCCAAATCCATGAGCTTGTGATCCTACTATTGTTTCAATTATCTACTTTTTAGCCACAAAAGCTTAAGAAATATTAATAGAACAACATTATACTTGGTACCTCTCTAGTTCTAGCCTGGCCTCATAAAAAAACTAACTCTCCAAGTTCCCAACCTTCAACCTAGCAAACTGAAAGACCTCACTATTTTTTCACTGACATTACTTTTAACTTCCAATGAAGTTTTCTCCCTAACTTGTCTTCTAATCTTTTAAATAAATGTCAATATCCAAGCTGTACATGTAATTATTTGAGATCATAAAAATCTAAGTTTTACATTAAACTTACTTGTTCTTTATTTGGTAGAAAGCACTGATGGGAAATCCAAGCAAAGTGAGCTAGTTTTAGTTTATCTTCCCAGGAAGTTGTCTTGCTTTTAAGCTTAAAGGAAATGCCAGAATAAACAGCAGCCATAGTTACACGTCTTCTACAATTAAAAAGAAGGGAAAATAGTATTATAATAAGACCTAACAAAACAGGCATCAGAAAATGAACACTATCTTTTTAAAAATATTTATGTGTATGTGCTTAAGTGTATGTATGCAAGAGCCCAAGAAGGTAAGACGAGATCCTTTGAGACTGGAGTACAGACAGTTGTAGCTAGCTGCCACATAGGTGCTAGAAAATGAACCCAGTTCCTCTGCAAGAGCAGTCAGTGCTCTTAACTGCTGAGCCATCTCTCCAATCCCTCACTATATACCTTACATATGGGCACAATTAGGAAGCAGAGGAGGCAGGCAGGTCTCTGGGAGTTCGATGCCAGCCAAGAATACGTAGTGAGATGCTGTCTCAAATTTGTGTGTGTGTGTTTATATTTAATTTGAACCTGGATTTCAGCAAAAGCAGGCAGATGATTATAAATACTCCTGCTGTGATTACACATCACACACTTAGAATATATAGGAATTCAATAAGGCAAAATCAAAATGTGTAAATTACTCACAGAATGATAGTCACCATACATGATTGAAGATTGAAAGAAGTTTCAGTACATATCTTCTAAAATGTATTGTGGATCAGGATTAGCTTTATTAAGTAAGCAAATAAAAAAGTGATACAGTACTTGAAGAAAGTAATGTTTCTTCAGGGGAAAAAGAAACCAAGTGTTGTGGCTGAGGAAACGGTTCAGCAGTTAAGAGCACTTGTTACTTTTTTTTTTTTTTTTTTTTTTTTTTTGGTTTTTCGAGACAGGGTTTCTCTGTGTAGCTTTGCGCCTTTCCTGGAACTCACTTGGTAGCCCAGGCTGGCCTCGAACTCACAGAGATCCGCCTGGCTCTGCCTCCCGAGTGCTGGGATTAAAGGCGTGCCACCACCGCCCGGCCACTTGTTACTTTTATAGAGGACCTGAGTTCAGTTCCTAGCACCCACAAGGCAGCTCACAACTGTCTATAACTCAATTTCCAGGGAATTCTGCATCTTCTAACCTCCCCAGGCACCTGCACACATAAGAAAGAAAGAGAGAGAGAAAGAGAGAAAGAAAGAAAAAGGAAGAAAGAAAGCATTAATTTCAATAGAAATGCTACTATAACAGGTATAGTATTATTTCTATTATAACAGGTAACTTCTTACACACGCAGAGCTACATTAGACTACAAAACATACACACGATTTAAAAAAAACAAAACAAAAAACTGGGGGTTGCAGATTTAGCTCAGTGGTAGAGCGCTTGCCTAGCAAGAGCAAGGCCCTGGGTTCGGTCCTCAGCTGGGGGGGGGGGGGGGACGCGGCTGTAATAATAAAATCCAGTAACAAAGGGAAAGCATATACATTAACAACTTACAATTACTATGAAACCCAGACAAAGCTTTTTAGTTTCTTAAAAGTCATAAAAATTTGTCATTTTCATTAAACAAAGTAGCTCAAAAAATATAAACATTCACCATCCTGCTGTGTCAAGGCACGGAGAATGTGCGATGCGGAGAACTTACTGCCTGCCTTCAGAACGGAGAAGCATCCCTGCCTGCTGTCGCCCTCAAAACTCCGCTTAGGGAGCTAGGGCAGCGGTTTCTCAACTTGTGGGTCCCGACCCCCATAGGCTCGCCTATCAGCTATTTACATTACCGTTAACAGTAGGAAAATTATAGTTAAGAAGTATCAATGAAATAACTTTATGGTTGGGGGGTCATTACAACATGAGGAACTGTATTAAAGGGTCGCATTAGGAAGGCTGAGAACCACCGCTCTAGAGCCTGGAGCGATGGCTCAGTGGTTAAGCTGACTTACTGCTTTTCCAGAGAAGCCAGGTTCGACTCCCATACCCCACCTTGTGGCTCCCAATCACCTGCAACTCCAGTTCTAGACCTGACGCCCTCTTCTAGCCTCTGCAGGGGTGCATAGATACGTAGAGGCAAAACAGTCAGACAAATAAAAATGTTTAAAGGTTTTAGATTGATACCTTCAAACCCTACTACCTCGGATCGGGGTTCTCTGGCTGTCAAGTCGGGCTCCCCAAGTTCTAAGAGCCCGTAGATCGGGGCTCTCCAAAGTGGGTCCTCAGATCAGGGTTCTCTCAAGTGGAGCTCCTTCAGATCCGAGCTCTCCTCTTAAGCAGGGCTCCCCCCGGTTGGGAGAACCCTCAGGAGGAATTACCTCAGATTGGGGATCCCTCAGATGGCAGATCCCTCAGGCAGGGCTTCCTCAGATCCAGTCTCCCCCGCGGGGTTCCCTCCCCCAGTTGGGGCTGGTGTCTGGATCTGCCAAAGTGCCGCTTCAAGGCAAAAAAAAAAAAAAACCACCACCAAACTCCACCCGGCGTTCACCTGGGACCTCCACAGCAACTAGCCACACGTGAGGGAGGCGCTTCCGGCAGACGTTGACGCCAACGGCTCGGGGCGGGGAGGGGCGTCACGCAGACATCGCTAGCGGAGCGCCGAGTGCGCCCTGGCCGCGGCGTCGCGCGTCCGCAAGCCTAGCCCGGCGTGCCCGCTCCGTCAGGCGGTCATGGGGCGGCCACCAAGAGCCGCGGGCGCGGTGGGACGTAGGGCGCGGGGACCCGGCTAGCCGGCCGCGGTACGAAGTCCTCCGGCGGGCAGCCGATACGGAAGCAGCCGGTGCCGGGCGGCGGCGGGGCAGCGGCAGCCGCCTGGGATGTTCAGTGAGTGCGGGCGGGGCGCGGGGAAGGAGGGGGGGGGGGAGGGGACGCGGGGGAGGGGCTTCGGGCGGGCGGCTCCGCGCCTCCCGCTCGCGGGCGCGCGCGGCTTACCTGCGCAGGCCCGACCTCCTCGCGCGCGCGGGCCCGAGCGACCCCGCACGTGGCGGCCCCGGCTGCACGCTCCCGGAGACCCCGCGGCCCCCGCCGGGCGCCCTCGCGCGGAGCCAGCCGCGAGCTCACGAGGGCGCTCGGCGGAAGTGGGCAGCAGACGGCAGGCTCGCAGCTGCCGCCGTGAGTCGCCGCCCCGCGGACCTCGCAGGCGCTGTGGCTCCGGCGTCGAGAGGTGAGTCCCGCTCCTATGCTCGGACCCCGGACTCGCAGGTGGATGGCGTCAGGGGGTTCCCGGGAGTCGGGACCGGGTGTCCGGAGACCCGTTCCAAGCCTGGCCGGCCCTACTGGAAAGTGAAGTAGGAAGGGAGCCCGCCTACTCCAGGTTCAAGACTTGTTGGCTACTGAAACTCAGAGGGACTGAATGTCACGGATGGAGGTGGTGACCGCGGAGACTAGGATTGCAACCATGTAGCTAGTTAGCTGCCTCAGTTTCTCCTGCTGTAAAATGGGGTGGTGGTTTAAGACTAGACTCAAATGGTAGGTGGTGGCGCACTCTGTAGGCTGAGGCAGAAAGATTGCTGCAAATTTTGGGCCGGTCTGGTGTACAAAGTGAGTTCTGGGCCAGACCAAGCTACGGAGTGAGACTTGATCTAAATATATATTCGCACACATGTGAACCTTGTTTTATGAATTATAAAGCGAATATTAAACCAGAAAAACCGAAGTCAGCTTGTGCCTTCAGTAGTTTTTGCCATCAAGAACAAATTAGGTTCCTGTGTTTTGGTACAGTCCTTTCCAACTGCGAGATTTGAGTGTACTTCTGTCACTGAAGAGAAGTGAAGGCCTGTCCTGACTGCTCAGTAACTGATTGTCTTCGTTATTTGTGCGCTCTGTAAGAATCTGTGAAAGACGTCTGGGGACAGAGGAAGAAGGGGCTTTGCTTTTTTCTGAGTTGTAGCTTGATCTTGTGTGATGCCTGCACTGGTCATTGCACAGTACTTGAAGTCGCGTTTCCAGCCTTCCACATAGCCATCAGCCTCGCGAGTGCTTAACTACCAGGTGCTTATTCTCAGAGCGAGCACCTTTGAGTGTTTGCCCTTCTACTCCCCCCAGGCATCCAGTGTGGGATCAGTGGAGCATGGGTGCTTGCTGTAAAGAGTGCAGGTTCAGACACTGCATCCAGATGACTGAGTTCTCATCCAGGGCCTTCATGACTTCGTGCAAGTTGTCTGACTACTCTGGGCCTCAGTTTTTCCATCTGAAAAATACTACCTGCCTAATAGAGTTGTGAGGGTAAAAGCAGATAGTATGTGGGAAGTAGTTAAGATGTTGTCTAGCAGCCGGGTGGTGGTGGTGGTGGTGGTGGTGGTGGTGGTGGTGGTGGTGGTGGTGGTGGTGGTGGTGCTGCTGCTGCTGGTGGTGGTGCTGCTGCTGCACGCCTTTAATCCCAGCTCTTGGGAGGCACAGGCAGATCGAGATCCAGGACTGCCAAGGCTGTTACACAGAGAAACCCAACACTAGGTATCATGATAGCGTGGGAAACTCAGTAATATGACATATACTATGATGGTGCCCCAGGCTCAGCGGGTGGAAAGGCAAAGTAAAGTGAGAACTGAAAAATGGGTTCAGGTGGGTAAACAGAGGCAGTTCAGAGCAACCTCAAAATGACACGGTTGGGTTTTATTTTTTTTTTAATCCTCCACACTAGTGACAACAGTAAGTTTTTTTTTGTTTGTTTTTGTTTTGTTTTTACCAGGACAGGGTTTCTCTGTGTAGCTTTGCGCCTTTCCTGGAATTCACTGTGTAGCCCAGGCTGGCCTTGAACTCACAGAGATCTGCCTGGCTCTGCCTCCCGAGGGCTGGGATTAAAGACGTGCACCACCACCGCCCGGCAACAATAAGTTTTAAAATGAGTGTATCACGTTGACTTTTTTTTTTGTTGTTTTTTGTTTTTTGTTTTTTCGAGACAGGGTTTCTCTGTGTAGCTTTGCGCCTTTCCTGGAACTCGCTTTGGAGACCAGGCTGGCCTCGAACTCACAGAGATCCGCCTGGCTCTGCCTCCCAAGTGCTGGGATTAAAGGCGTGCACCACCACCGCCCGGCTCGTTTTTTGTTTTTTGTTTTTTTGTTTTTTCGCACGTTGACTTTTTGGAAAGAATGCCTATAGTAGAGTGGTGTTAGGTTGAAGTAGAGAAGGCCATCCCTACTTCTGTTTCTAGCTTAGTACAGATAGACTTTTTAATCTAAATTTCAAAGCCTAGAGAACACTCAAACAAGGCAAGAAGAAACTATAGGTTATTCTAGACAGTGTTCTTTCCTAAAAACCATATTTTAGTGAATGTCATGTACCAGGGTAGAAGGCTGGTTTCTCTGAGAAGTCTCCCTGTGATTAGAGGGTGTCATTCCATGTTGTGGTCTCTGCCACCAGGCACACTTGGTTGTTTCTCCAACACCAAGATGATTTCAGGAGGGCATACCAGGCTGAAGCAAGCCCAGGGGTGCTGGTTTAGAACTTTTGTTCAGTCTCATCAAATCAGTTAATAAAAGAACGACAACAACAAAAAATGTTGGCCGATGATTACTGGGGTCATGTCTGAGAGCACAGGTACAGATCACACATAATACACAGAAAATAATCGGGAAATAGTGATGCATTCTTGTTATCCAAGTGCAGTGGAGGCAGTGGCAGGAGGTTGGAAAGTTCAGGATCAGGCTGGCTATGTTCAGAGTCGAGGCCATCATGGGCTGCATAGCAAGAATTCTGACTCAGGAAAAAAAACACTAACTGATGAATGAAAAAATGCTTATTGGCCGGCAGTGGTGGCACACACCTTTAATCCCAGTGCTCGGGAAGCAGACACAGGCGGATCTCTGTGTTCGAGGCCAGCCTGGTGTACAGATCAAGTTCCAGGACAGCCAAGGCTTCCCAGAGAAACCCTGTCTTGAAAAAACCAAGATAGCTTGGAAAGAAGGCATATAAGGATTTGAAAATTCAAGAAGTGCTGTGAGGACCCAGGATAGCTTGGTGGTAGAATGCTTGCCTAGCATATGGGAAGCCTTAGCTTTAATCTCTATTGCTCCCCCCCCACACTACTTCCTCCCCAAAGAAAAACTTATAAGGTTGTCTGTGGTGACTTGGTAGATAAGGAAAGTCAATTACATATCTTACTTATTTTGGCTTTTTTGAGTCAGGGTCTTACTGTGTATCTTTGGCTGGCCTGCAACAGTGTTCCCATCTGTGCCTCCTCCGTGCTGAGATTAATGATGTGCTATGATGTCCAGCTTGAAAATAAAATTTGATAATCCATAGTGGTTTTGTTGATCATAGATACTGTTGTTTTAAAATGTGTATAAATAGTTGGAGCAAAATTGTACCACAATTTGATATATATATTGGCATGCCCTTTTATGTATGTCAATGAAGTTTTATATATGTGGTGGCTTGAATGAGGATGGCCCCATAGGCTCATGTTTTGTGTATTTGTTATTATTGTTGAGACAGGGTCTCTCTACATAGCCTTCACTGTCCTGGAACTCTCTGTGTAGACCAGGTTGGCCTACCTCCTGAGTGCTGGGACTAAAAGTGTGCATCACCACAAGCCAGGATTAACCATATCCAGCATGGTTTATATATGTGAATGATTGGTCCTTGGGTGTAATTGTTTGGGGAAGGATTAGGAGGTGTGGTTTGTTGGAGGAAGTGTGTCACTGAGGGTGGGCCTTGAGGTTTCAAAAGCCCATGCCAAACCCAGTCTCTGCCTCCACCTTGGGGATATGGTGTAAGCGCTCAGCTACTGCTCCAGTGCCGTCCTTGCTCGTCAATCTGCTGCCATGCTCCTCAGCGTTGAGTCATGGACTCACCCTCTGAAACAGTAAGCAAGCCCCCAGTAAATGCTGGCCTTGGTCATGGTTTCTCTTCACAGCAGTAGAAAAGTAACCACGATAATATAGATCTTTTTTTCCCATGCTAGAAAAACAGTATTAAAGTAGAAATAAAATACTTGTGGCTTTCTTGGTTCCTAGAAATCACAAAAGGTCATAAGCCTAAAATAAGTCCAAGCGGAAACTAGACAGCACTCAAACTTTTAAGTCATAATATAGTTCATGTTACCTGTCCCTTCAGAAGCCAGTAAGCAGGATAGGAATTGAATCTTATTATAGTCTTATTTAGTGTGTTAACAATCTGAGAAGACAAAGATTCATATTCTGAAGTTTCATAGTCTGTCTTAAACCTCATCTCCAGATGGCAGATTAAGAAGAGTGTGTTGGGGACACAAAGCGTCAGTTACTCCAGAGCTCAGTCTTGACCCTTTGGTCAGCCATGTTTCTAAGACTTACGATGTCCGTGTTTCTCTTACTATCCCTTCCCTCTTCTCTCATGGGTGTTTGAGCGCAGGCGTTACTTCTTGATATGTGGGGTCAGGTTAATTTCTGATAATGTCAACTTTGTACTCCAGGAGCATCTGAGCTGGGAGGGGTTAACTCAGAACAGACTAAGCATTAATAACATTGTGCACCAATTCCTTTTTACAATATGAAGTATATGTGTCTTTATAATGCAGAATATGGAAATACTACTATCTATTCCTTCTGTCCTACATTGCTTTTTTTTTTCTATTTGAGACAGGGTCTTTAGCCCTGACTATTCTAGAACTTGCTATGTAGACCAGGCTGTGCTTAAACCTACATAGATCCACCTGCCTCTGCCTCCTGAATGCTGGAATTAAAGGGCATCATCACCAGCTATTTCGCATCACTTTTTTTTCCTCCCCCATTGTAAAAAAATGATCTCACTCTCTACCCATGGCTGGCCTATGTCTGTATCACTGGCCTCAATGCAGTTCGCCTTAGCTTCCCTAGGACTGGAATTACAGGCATGTACCATCACACCAA